CCCCACCTAACGGTCTCAACCGTCTCGCCCCGGCCCCGCGGGGTCCCCCCACCTAACGGTCTCAACCGCCTCGCCCCGGCGGGGCGCCCCTAACGGTCCCAACCGTCTGCCCCCCCGGGGCGCCCAGCCGTGCAGAGACCAGCAGCATAGCCCTGCCGGGGCACAGGTGCCAAACGGGGCACCAGAACTGAGCCCCGGGCACTTAATACCGCGCAGGGCCCGCCCCGCGGCGCCCCGCCCAGCAACGGCGGCGCGTTTACCTTGGCGACGCCCCGCCCCGCGGCCGGGCCACGAGCGGCGGCGGCGGCCTGGGCTGCCGGTGACCCGCGCGCGAGCCGCTGCCGCCGGGCCCCGCCATGGCGGAGCCTCCTGGGGACTCGCCGTCGCCGCCCGAGCGACCGTGGCCTGAGGAGGGCCCCAAGCAGCCGCCTGCGGAGGACCTAGAGCCCCAAGAGGTCCCTCCGTGGCTTCCGGAGCCGGCAGGAGCTCCCTATGAGTACCAGGACCCCTACCAAGAGCAAGACCAAGGAGGAAGTGCCTACCAGCCTCCCCCGCTGGGGCAAGAGCCCTATCCGCCGCAGGCCCCAGAGCAGTACTTCTATCAGCTCCAGGAGACAGAACAAGACCCCTATGAGGTATCAGGAATAGGCGATGAGCAGAGGTACGCACTGGGGCAAGACTCGTATCCGGCTGAGGAGCCAAGCCAAGGCGCGTATGAGTCATATGCACCAGGATTAGACCCTTATCAAAGATATGATCCAAGAAACGGCTACGAGACACACGCAGTACGAGATCCCTATCAAGTCTATGAGCCCGGGCATGGCCCCTATCAACCACATGAACCAGGTTACGGTCTCTACGAGACAGGATACAGCCCTGAGGATAAGCAGATATCAGAACCTAGTGCCCAAATGCTGGCAGTTCAGAATGCAAAAGCCTATCTGCAGAAGAGCAGCACAGCGTCCGGCCTGAACCTGTGAGTGTGAAAAGGGGACAAGATTGAAAGTGGTAGAAAGGATGAATGGAAAGAAAAACAGTGTAGATAAAAGGGCAAATGATTACATTAAGAAATTCAGGGTTATCAAGGGATGTAGGAATATAATTGCAATGAATCATCTTTATGAGGATAGCTGTATGTGCCCAGCATCTTTCAGAATAAAAATTCCAAAGGGAGTTTAGAGTGTTCAAAATTTGATTAACGGCACATTTATATTCGTCTTCAGCTCCTGAGCCAGGTGTGGAATAAACCAAAAATGGAAGATAGGACTGCTCTTAAATATAGTACAATCAGGCTAGTTTCAGATTTAATTTACCATAATGCTACATGATCTCTCTATATCTAATTATACCAGTGATTTCTGCAAAACTCCAGGTGATCAGCTTCTACTTTTGAAGTTAAAATTGTATTCCTCTAAAACTTTGATATAGTAGGCCAGTAATTTATATTTATATTTATATTTATATTTATATTTATATTTATATTTATATTTATATTTATATTTATATTTATATTTATATTTATATTTATATTTATATTTATATTTATATGACAGATACGATCATCTTGCTAACATGCTAACAAAGATCCTGGATGAACAGCCCAGAAATGTAGTGGACATAATTGAGAATATCAGCAAGGATGTGAAATGGTCCCAGTTTCAGAAAAAAATGGATACTCTCCGTGATGAGCATGAGATTCTTCCAACATTTGAAGTTGCAGAAAAGCGTAAAGCTTTATTCCTTAAGGCACATGGAGAAGGAGATGAAGAGCTAGAAGATGAGATAGTGAGTTATTATCAGAGAAAAATAGATATCAATTTTACCAGGAAGATGGGTGGGAGGATGATGGGGGAGGAAGGGGCAAAATTGTGGTCTCTGTAGTAGCCCCATGTTTCTGGGGATYGTGACCTCTTATTTACAAGATAGGCCATAGCACTGAAGTTCTTTGTAAAGAGTGATCACTTGCAAGAATTCTGACTTTCCTTATTTTGCAGTAATTAGAAGTAAATTGGAAATTTGACATTTCTGTTCTAAAAGCTGCAATTCATCTGTGGTCTCTTCTTTATCTTTACAATGACACTTTTAATTTAGTAAGTGGTGAGTGAATGCCTTTAAATCCCTTGGAGAAGATGAATGGTAGTACATGAAAGTGAAGTATGCCTTTCAGTGAGTAATATATTTAATCTTTCCAAGATACAGTTTTATTACTCTTCACCTCTGACTTTGGATTTTCTTTTGTAGGCAGACACCCCACTACCCAATGTGATGGAAACAGCCTTTTATTTTGAACAGGCTGGAATTGGCTTGAGCAAAGATGAAACCTATCACATATTCCTTGCTCTTAAACAACTAATTAGTGTTCAGCCAATCCAAACGTGTCGCTTTTGGGGCAAGATTTTAGGCCTGGAGATGAACTACATTGTAGCTGAAGTTCAGTACCATGACAGGGCAGAGGAGGAGGAAGCAGAAGAAGAAGAAGATAATGAGGAAGGAAAGAAAGGGACGGATGAGGAAAAAGGAGATGAAGATGAAGAGAAAGAAGATGATGATGAACCACCACAATCCACCTACAAGCCCCCACCTGTCATCCCAAAAGAAGACACTGGCACTGGGACTAATAAATATATCTACTTTGTCTGCAATGAGCCAGGCAAACCCTGGGTGAAGCTGCCTCCGGTGACTCCAGCACAGATTGTCTGTGCCAGGAAGATCAAGAAGTTCTTCACTGGCAGGCTGGATGCTCCTGTTGTGAGCTTTCCCCCTTTCCCTGGAAACGAGGCCAATTACCTGCGTGCACAGATAGCTCGGATCTCAGCAGGAACCCAGATCTGCCCCATTGGATTTTACCAGTTTGGAGAGGAAGAAGGAGATGAAGAGGAAGAGGGGATAGGAGGAAGAGATACATACGAAGAAAACCCTGATTTTCAGCCTCTTTCTGTGGTTGAGATGGTGGATTCCCTCTCCATGTGGGTACACCATACGCAGCATATTCTAAAGCAGGTACGTTTTTGTGTAGCTCACACTGATCTCAGAGAACATTTACACTGAGTACCAGTAGTGCGGCAGAATGTAAATTAAACTCCTCACCTGCACAGATTTGAGCTGTTCAGCCCCAGAAATACTATCAGGCTGAAATATTTTATTACAGAAAACGATCACATTTGCTATATTATACATAAATATAGTAAATACATTCATGTATTATACTGAACATATAACATATACATTTTTATTAAAAACATATGAATTCTTAAGAACCTGTTAGGATTCTGTATGGGTTTAGGCATTGATACATAGTGATTATTTCTGCTTATCTTCTGTATTAGATTTTCTCCTGTGAAGTCCTCCCTTGACAAAAATACTTCTGTTTTCTTGGGTAGGGTGCTAAAATGCAGATAGCTTAGGATTGTATGATAAATTAAATTTGTTTGGTGCTTTCTTGTGATTTATTTTTTGTTGCTAACTTTAAACTGTGGGACATGCAAGTGAAAAAGATTATAAATAAAATGTAGTAAAAAATATTAAAATAATAAATAAAATAAAATAAAATAAAATAAAATAAAATAAAATAAAATAAAATATTATGTTTTCATATCAATCATAGGGTCGCTGTGTTTGGCTTAATCCTTTCCAAAAATCAGAGGAAGAAGAAGAAGGAGAAGAGGAGGAAAAACCAGAGGAGCCAGATGAAATACAGCAAGAAATAGGACCTCCTCTTCTCACTCCGATCTCTGAAGATGAAGGTACTTTTCAGGGAACACTAAGTTTTGGATAGCCATTGGAAATGTTGGCATTTGGGTAGTAAATATTTGAAGTTATAGGCCTCTGATGCTTCATGGAATAGTAAGTTTGGTGTTGTAGGGAGAGCACATTCTTTCACAAAATTGRTCAAAAGTGAAATGGCTGATAGTGTTGACATTGAATCAGAAATGGTTAGATTTACTAGTTAACAATCTCTTTGAGAATAAATGAAAAAAACCCTCAGAATTATCAGACCATTGAAAGTTCTAGACAGCTCACTACATGAGTTACATGCAGCTATCTTTCCATCTTTTTTGGACAAAATAATCTCTGTGCATGTGTAAATAAATACATTAATTTATATATATATGCATCTAGACATATTTTAAAAAGAATTTAGATCCTGTAGCATATTATCACAGCAAATCAGAGGAATGCAGGAACCTGAATTTTAGATTATATTAATATTAAATTAATTTTCTACTCTCTGTTCTTAGATTAGGGTGAAACATTTATATAATTTGTGCATGAGAGATAAAAAGTCCTTGAAAAACAAAAAACAGCAGTGAGTACTGCTGAATTTTATGAGTACGATCTTTTTTTCATGTGGCTGTGCAGCATCTCTGTGATACTTACCCACACATCCCATCACCTGTTAGAATTTAATACATACATTTATTGCTTCTAAGTTTTGACACTTCTAACCTGTATGTTAATAGAACCATTGCTTGAATTCTGGGAAGGTTTTATAGTTGTGTTACGTATTTTGTAGCTGCTCGTAAGTCACATGGTGTGTTTTGGGCTGATTGCAGGAATTCAAAATGTCCCTGCTTGGACAGCTCAGTTTTCCACAAACCTGGTGCCTCAATATGCTGTTGCAATCATTCAGTCTAATCGATGGCCAGGAGCATACACCTTTGCATCTGGCAGGTAAGCAGCCACTTTACACTGTTACTTAGACTGTATGTGCTATATACAGATASCTGTGTAATGAAATCAAAGTTTAGTTGTTGTTAATTCATTGGAAATACTTGATAGAATATAAATTCCAGCTAGTATTTGGCCACAATCTCCAATTTAAAATCCACATTCCTGGGTCTGTGAAAAAGCTCTTTTACAAAAGTAGCTACGTTGTGTAGTTCTAATTGACATATGGTACAGTCACTAAATGCTTTCAACTGGCCACTAGATTTTGTATCAGAAAGGGCTCCAGGTTAGTAATGTTAGGAAAGCTACAGCCAAAATTCTCTATAATGTAATGCCAGACTTTAGCATTCATATATGTGGTATTTGGAGATTTTAAGTAGAAGATACATTCATCAATATGAATTTTTTAATTTTTTTAAGTACATTAGTTATAGATAACCTGAACCACGAAGGTTCTTAGCAGACTGAGGAAGCCTAAGAATATTTCCACTGGTACTTTTCTGGGGAGATTGTGTGATCTTTGTGCTTTTCATTCTCAGGAGATTTGACAATATCTACCTRGGCTGGGGTCACAAATACAGCCCAGAAAACCACACGCCCTCGCTGCCTCCGCYGGTGCAAACAGAGTATCCTAGCGGGCCGGAGATCACCGAGACCAACGACCCCAGCGTGGAGGAGGAACGAGCTCTCCAGGCTGCCCAGGAAGAAGCCTTAGCTGCAGCCGAGGAAGAGGAAGAGGAGGAGGAAGAGGATGAGGATGATGAGGAAGAGGATGATTGATGTCCAASAAAAAGCTTTAATTTCGAGTGTTTGAGCATTAGTAGTATTTTAAGAAGTTAGTCATAAATTAGTTGAGTGTCAGCTTCTGGAGGCTTCTCTTTGCAGGCTGCCTCTCTGCTGCTTGGCACCTGCCCTGGCAGGAAGATAAGATACTAAAGTAGCCTTATTTTTCGAGCACCATACAAATACACCCTGTTATGTTTCCCAGGGCAGCATCCTCTTTTTGCACTAAACGCCGTCCCTACCCACTTGTCCCTGGCGCCGATGTCCAGCGCGCCACAGCGCGGCGCCGCGGCCGCTTCCCGCCCGCCGCTCCGGACGGACGCTACCATGGGCCGCAAAGCCGGGGGGGGCACCGCGGCGCGGCACCGCTCTCCGGCGGCTCTTCGGGCGCCTTGCTTCTCCTCCGCTCCCCCCACCGGCTCTTAGCGATTGGTGCGCTCCGCAGCTGCGTCAGTCCCGCGCCGACCAATAGGAGGCGGCTTCGGGAGACGTTCAAATCGCGGTGGCGGTTGGGCGGCGGTTTGCYGGGCGGCTGTGCGGGCGGGTCCCTGAGGCGAGCGGCGGCGCGAGCGCGCTCCTAACGGCCGCGGGGATGGCGGACGAGGGAGCGGTAACGGTCTGCGTGCGTGTGCGGCCGCTGATCGCCAGGTGAGGCCTCCTCCCGAGCAAGTCGTGAAGGGGAGGCTGCCCGAAGCTCCCTGCTCGCGGCCTCCTTGGGTTACATTTCCAGCTAGGCCCTCTCCTTGGCTGTTAGTTTTTGGTGTTTATTTACTCTTCCTCCTTAGCTTGAGGAATGATGAAAGTTACCTCAATGTTTGGTCGGTTATGTACTTTATTCATTCATTTATTTAATTTCTGGTCCTTGAATGCAAAGGTTGATCTCAACTATAATGTGCCCTGCCCTTACTTTTGATTTCCCTCCTTGTGGGAATGGCTGAAAAGGTGGGTACTGCAGCCCATGCCCGGGTCTCTATTAATATACTCTCATATGCTAAATATTATCTTCAGTTAATATGAAGCTAATTTTCTTCTCAGAGAAAAAAAGAACATAAGTTAGAAAACATATGGTGTGATTCTAGTAGTTGTTGCCTCATAGGATTAGAAGAACACCTTTTTCACTTTTTAGGGAAAATGCCCTGGAAGATAAATTGTCACTGTACTGGAAAAGTGAAAACAATACTATTGCAGAAGTGAATGGTACAAAGGTCTTCAATTATGGTAAGAATGTAAGGGGGAGTTATTCTTTCAATTTTGTTTTAAACTGCTTGCAGGGACTTTCATTAATATACTATATGAATATAAACTAGCAAAAATTAGTTTAGTATTTAGAGTATTGCTATGCTTTCTTCCTTTTCTCCTCAACCCCTAGCTTTAAAGTTTTTAAGGAACACTACTGGGTCCTATGTCTGCCTCTACTCCCACAACACACATCCACAAAAAAAGTCAAACACAGGTTTTAAGATTGGGATTTTAACAAGGAGCCTGTATTCTGTGGCTTACAATTCCAAAAGGTAAGTTAGACCTGATAATTTTTAGGACTATAAGGAATGACCATTTAACTGTTTAGATAATATTCATAGGGTTTTCACCAGTCTGTTGTCCGTCATACCTCTTCTGGTGTGAGTTTTAATTCCACCTTCCGGCCCCCACACACCTCCTTTACACATCTAACACACCTGCTTTGTAGTATTGTAAAAATATTTTATGTTTGAATAATTCTGTGGAAGATTTTCTTTTAATTATCCAATGTTATTATATTGATATGAAGCCACCAAAACCAAGCAAAATGACAGCTTATTTTGGATTSTCCCACTCACTTGTGTGCTTTGCTTTTCTTTGAGATCGTGTCTTTCACTCAAGTGACAATACTCAACAATTGTATGAAGGTGTAGCTGTTCCAATTGTACAATCAGCAGTTCAGGGATACAATGGTAAGTTTTAAAAATGTTTTTAAAGATTTTTTTGTTGTTGTTTTTAAATCTATCTCATAAATCATCGGTAATATTTAATCATCTTTCCAGGCACAATTTTTGCCTATGGGCAGACTGCTTCAGGGAAGACATATACAATGATGGGAAATGATGATTCTGTGGGCATTATCCCTAAGGCAATTCAGCATGTTTTCAAAATTATTTGTGAGGTGAGTAATGCTATTGACTTGAGATGACTGAAAGTTGTTATTGGTGTTTGCAAAAATCAAAGGAAAAACTAGTCTTCATAAAATCCTCGCCTCAAAAACAGTGTGTCAGGACATGCTGTAGCTGCTTTGTTAGTCTTCCAGTGATGTCAGTAATTATGATAATGGGCCTCTAATAGTTTGAATTGGATCAATATACAACCCAGAACTTTTKGTTCAAAAATCTTCTTTTGTGAATATACCTAGCTTTGAGTGCCRGTGCAAGTAGATGCTCACTCTTGATGTACGGTGAGTGAAGTAATAGAAAGCCTGTGTCCTGTATTGTTGTTTAAAACTTGGCTTTAAACAAGTTGAACATTTCAAAGCCATTTTTAAAATAGGGAAAAGTATGAAACTAAGCTTATTTCATTCATTCAAAGAATCAGTGTGATTGTTGACTGCTGATAGGTTCCTACAGTGTCCTCATTTGTGTATGTGGGCTATAATTGCACTGGAAAAGAGTCCTTGCAGCTCTGTCATCTGAGTACAGGACACTGAAGCTCTATTTGCCCCAAAATGGAATGTGATATGAAGATGTTGGGGAGGGTGGGTGAAGAACACCAAGTGCTGCTGTGTTTTATTGATATTCCAAGCCTAGTAGAAATGGCCCTCAAACGTGCAATGGTGTTGATAGAAAAGGTAAAGTATCATCAGTTTATCCATATTTTCTGCTCTTATAGTATGTCTGCACAGAATACAGCTATRCAAGTGATCTAATACAATCAAAATACCAGATTTATATAATACATGTGTAGTTGGTTTGTATTTGTCAAAAGGTGATCTTTTGAGCACTTGTTYCTACCTTGAGGAAATCAGGCTAACAATATTAGTTGTGTGAAATACCTCATTGCTTCTTTTAGGTGCACGGAGTGTTAGGATCTTTAAGAGCAACAGAAGCCAAGGAAGTTTTTTGTGGTAATATGGTTCTTCTGAAAAAGTAGCAGCAGAGTAATTCCAACCAAGCAAAAGAAAAGTCTAGGTACCCACAGGGTACCAGCAAGAAATTGGATATAGCAAGGACATAAAACTAAACATCTAGTAAAAGTGATATATCACTAATAGAGCAAGAAGAGGAGGAAAAAATGGAAGGAAAACATATTCTAGTGAATATATTCTAATTGGCAGTAGATGCTAAAGTACCAAGATAATTGCAGAAAATCTGTGGACAGTATCCGTGGATGTAACTTTCCAAGATGGTCCTTGGAATTGATATAAAAAAAGTTTGGCTTTAGTCTGATCTGTGAAATTCTTGTTCTTTGCTCGCTTTGTATTTATCTTTAGATTCCAGACAGGGAATTTTTGCTAAGAGTTTCTTATATGGAAATCTACAATGAAACCATTACGGATCTGCTTTGTGATATCAGGAAGAAGAAACCTCTAGGAATTCGTGAGGATGTTAATGTAAGTGCCATAAGCTATTCCGAGCTTATTGTGTCAGCTAGAGGTAAAAAATGTCTTGAGGCATCTAGTCTAGTGAAATTCACTGATCTATTGAAATTATATAATTACCTTTAGAAGGCTGAAGGATACTTAATATAGTAGGACATAAACAGTGAAGCTGGGCTTGCTGTTACTGATTCATCTTTATGTGGAGACTTTTGCTCTTAAGATATRTCAGCTCAGTTTTGCAGCCAGTACAATTTGGATATTTTTTCTCCAACAACCTGTATCATAACTTGTTTCTGGAACTTGAGAAGGAGGGTGACTATTTACTTGATTATAAGCTTAGAAATATATTTATCTGTAAATATTACTGATTTCTTCAGAAAAAGTCCAGAAAGGTACTTCCCTTACCAATTTTATATTTAGAAAGCTGGGAAACATTGTAGACCTCTTGTCTTCCAGCTATARTCCTGATGTAGATGTAGACTTTCTTAATCCTCTTTTTTTTTTGAGGAAAATACACGTGTGTGTGTGTGGGGGGGGGTGAATGTCAATAATGTTGCTTCCTTATAAGAAGGAATTAAACTGAAACAAACATCTGCAATACTTCCTAGCAATGTTTGGTTTGTGTATTCAAGTGAACTTTTGAGTTCAATAAAATAAACAAAAATGACTCCTATTTTGTTTTTTTTCTCTTAAGAGGAATACGTATGTAGAAGATCTCATTGAAGAAGTGGTAGTTTCCCCAGAGCAAGTTATGGAATGGATCAGAAAAGGGGAAAGTAAGCTGTTTGGCCATATAAGCCAATTCTTTAAAGAGCATCAAATCAGTCATCTCTAAAATCATGGATRTCACTGTGAGATTATATGCAGAAATCAATCCATTTCCAATGGTTTTAAACTGTTTTTTTCTATTATCTCCAATTTATCAGAGCATAGATTAGAAATAATCTAATAGTCTTTTTTGACAGAGAACCGACATTATGGAGAAACAAAAATGAATGAACACAGCAGCCGTTCTCACACTATCTTCAGAATGGTAAAACACTGTTTCATTATAAGAGGGTGTTGTTGTGGTTTTTTAAGTCTGTCAAAAACTTCATGGTGCTCTCTTTTAGATCATAGAGAGCAGAGAAAGAAGTGACCCTGCAAATGCAAATTGTGATGGAGCAGTAATGGTATCTCATTTGGTAAGCTATACTTTGTTTGAAGTTATTGGATATACATTTAAGTAGAGAACCGAACATTTCAGGTTGTGTGCAAGAATAATGCCACTTTATAACCGTGTTGCAGGGATGCTTTGTTGTTGACTTCTATGAGATACTACTTGCCACAAATCATATTTTTGATCATCTGTATGAGAAATTCCTAGGGTGTGAYTTAGGGGATGTTCTCTCTCTGAAGGAAATTCTTATGTGGCTGTGGTTCCTACTCAATCCTTGCTGGACTAGGGCGTGTTATATTCTATTAGAGGGGAAAATAGGGACTATTGATATTACAACTCTTCTTGTATTTTTATTAAGCACAGCTTCTCTTATGATTGTTCCTGGCCTACTGACAAGCCAAGTGAACTAAGGTTCTGAAGCAGGTAGCTTCTCTCAACTATTCCTAAATTACACTGTTAGTGATGCTGTTAACTGTTAGATAACATCACTACCAGAACATTGGTGGCTTCAGCCACAACAGCTGGGAGATATATTTTCCAAAAGCAATCCCAACTAGTATCTCCTTAGTATTTAACTAGTATATGACTTACCCTAAGCTGTGGTGAGGGTGGGAAATACACTGCCCTGGAGGTAAGTGATAATTCCTCCAGTTGAGCTGAATTCTTTTCTGAGCACAGAGGATATAATATGAATGTTCTGAAATTTGCAAAAGTCTGCATGAGTGTTTCTTATCCTGGTATCAGGAATAGCACTAAGTCAATTACATACACTAGTGAAGAGAACTCCTTTTGTTCTGGCTTGATCTGAATGTAAATGCTGCTTATGTAATAAATGAGCAAAGAGAAGGAGACATGCAGCTGGAAAGCTTAATTTTCAAGATTATTTCCCAATATCCAAGTGTTGTGGTTTTTTTTTTTGGTCCTGAACATAAGTGTATTGTACTGCAAGTTTAAAACATCATTTGGGATAGTGCTAATGGAGTTCTACATTCTTTTGCACCTGGAAAATATTTACTGATGTGTTGCATAGGTTTGAATTAYTCTTCAAAATGAGACAGCTCTTGACTGACTTTTGTTCAGTTTATAATCCAGGTGTTCTGGAACTTTTGAAATTCTTTACACACAACTTAGCATGAGGAGAATTGAAAATTAGATTGCCATTAAACTAACCAGTGAAATATTTAATGAATTTACAGAACTTGGTAGATCTGGCAGGGAGTGAAAGAGCTAGTCAAACAGGATCTGAAGGTGAGTGAATGCCATATGTTAAATGAGTCTTTATTATGGAACACTTCTGTAAAATATATCATACATCATTCTATGTTACAGAGGAAAAGATTTTTGCGTATGTGCTGTTGGGTTACGTATTATCGATATAATGTAGAATCCAAAATAAACTCCTGTGTAATGTCCTAAACTATAAAAATGTTGTGAAAAAAGTAGTGGAAACTACTAGTTGGTAATATGACTTTCTAGAGTAGTATGTCCAATAACAATTATGCAATGAACTAATTAAATGAAATCAGCTGTAGTAAAGAAATTATTAGAGACRTGTGCAGATTCTAAAGGTATATAAAAAAATACCTTTAGCAATAATGTAGCATAAAAAGTCTGTTTGAAAAAGTTTGTTGTGCTCAAGGAAGAAAGTGTGTTGTATGCAGGTCTCCGATTGAAAGAAGGCTGCAATATAAACCGAAGCTTGTTCATTCTGGGTCAAGTAATCAAGAAACTTTGTGATGACCCTTCTGGGTAAGTGCTTGTGTCTACATTTTTACTGTCAGATGAATAATTAATGAAGAAAGTAAACTCCTTTACCATTTTTGATATTAAAAACTASTTCAGTTGACCTTTATGTCAGTTTTCTATGTTGAAGATATTGAGCATATTTGGCCTATTAGAACGTGAATCGTTTTTCATTGTTTCTTCTCCCTACTTTCCCTTCAGCTTCATAAATTACAGAGACAGCAAACTGACTCGAATTCTGCAGAACTCCCTGGGAGGAAATGCTAAGACGGTTATTATTTGTACAATTACTCCTGTTTCTTTTGATGAAACACTCAGCACTCTTCAGGTAAAACTTTGCATCTATTCTAAGAATTGTTCTGTTCTAAAACCTTAATGTAGACAGCTTGAAAAAAGCAAKAAAATGTGTATGATGTTTTTGTTCTGCAACCATCTGAATGTTCTAAAGGTCCTTTGGGGACCTGAGCATTCCATTTATTTTGTTTATTTCTACTTATTTTTTTAATACCTTGCGTCTCTTTCCAGACCTCTTACACTGGACTCTTTAACTAAAGCTTTGTGCAAGTTAGAGCAGCTTCTTCTCTAACTTTGCATGGAGTAGATGACTTTTCCTTTTTTCTTTTCCTTCTCAATTGCCTTTTCTAAACATGGTTAGGACTATAAGTCTGTACCATTTGTTAGCTCCTCCAGGAAAGGAATTGAATGAAACTATTGCTTAACCCTTTTCTTTTCTCTTGTTATCATGAGTTTTKTTAAAATATAATTCTGTATACTTTTGCTTAACTGTTAGGCTTTGTGTTGATGTGAAGCCCCAAAACCTTTTCCTCCTGAATCCAAAATATATGAAACATATATTGATTAAATACTGATCGTCATCTAAAACCGTCCTTTTAATTCCTATGAGATATGAGAGAATAAATTTTTGATGTATTGATTTTTTAAATTTTACCTCAGAATATGTTCATTTTTCCAGTTTGCCAATACAGCCAAAAGAATGAAAAACACCCCAAAAGTCAATGAAGTGCTCGATGATGAYGCTCTCTTGAAGAGATATCGCAAAGAAATTCTGGATTTGAAAAAGCAGCTAGAGGAAGTATGTCAAAATATATTAAATATACTTATTTCTCATAGCTATGTGGAACTACTCTTATTTCAAACCAGTTAGAACTAGAGAGGCAAGGAGATTGTGTTCCAAGTGACTTGTTATGAGTCTTGAAAGCGGAAAGGTGAAGCTAAGTTTAGAACAAATGATCAAGATTTGTGTGTCTGTGAAAGCTAACTCTGAATGGGAGATACTAWTTGAAGTAAATGCTTTCTTTATGTAGCTGAAGGAATTCAGCAAAGAAATAGAAAGTTATTATATCTCTTATGACAGTTACAATATCTGCTTTTCACTTGTGGCAATATTRAAATGACATTCAGTAGCTTGGGTTGTATGCAACAATTTCAACTCAGTTCATGGTTTTAGCTCTAACTAATATCTACCATAAGTCTGAGCAAGTTGCAATTGTTAAAGAGTAGTGCCAAAAGTTATGTCAAATATAAGCAGAAGATAAGCTTGGAAAACAGACAATATAACTCGGACTCCTCCATCTCCAGCAGTGAAGTCTCTAATATCTATATATCTAATAAGGAACCATCTTGCAAATCTTTTAAAGAATATGTTTTGTTAAAGATAAAAGATAAAGCACAAGGAAATACACAATTCTGGATATACTGTTTTAAAGGCTTAAATTTATACAGAATTTAAAATAATGAAGGGAGGGTAAAGTTTGTTCATGAGAAAGTAATAAAAGCTGTTTCTTTAGAGCACAATTCAATTCTTTTTAAATCCATATATGATTGTTTGCTGTCTTTTGAGTCAGTATAGATGGTCAGGGAGGTACTTGTTATATATCGATTGTAGAAAAGTGTTTGGAATTTCCCATACAAGCTCCAAGTGATTTTTTTATGTATTTTTGTTACACTTTGGATTATTTCAAGTTTGTGAGATAGTATATCTATGGGTAAACTGGTGAAGTAAATGTCYGTTTCTCTGCTAGGGTCAAATTTAGAGAAAGTTCTTTCAGACTAAAGCGCATATATATGTGTAGTGTTTTAAAGYTGAATGTTGATCTTCATTGGTAGTTTGTACTCCTAAAATTGCCAGTGTGATGTGCCCTTCTATCATAGGTTTCCTCAAAAACTCAAATCCATGCAATGGAGAAAGATCAATTAGCACAACTATTGGAAGAAAAAAATTCTCTTCAAAAAGTACAGGAGGATAGAATAAGGAACTTAACTGAAATGTTAGTGACTTCTGCCTCATTTTCTTCAAAGCAGAATGCTAAAGTAAGGATACTTATTCTCTATCTTGTCTTAACTATGAATAATCTGAAATACTTGGAGAAACTTGACCTCAAATGTATARAGTTTCATGGAGAATAGCATCTGACATAAGGAATATTTATTATAGTCTGGATAATTTTCATACACTTTTTCCTTGTTTTTAAAAAGTCATTTTGAATAGGAAGGAATAGGAAGGAGTAGGAATCAACTCATTGATGCTTTGCAGTGAATGGGCTATAAGGACTTTTGTTTTCAAACTGTTATGTTTTAGTTCCCCTCTGAAGAGGAGATGGCATAGCATTAACTATACTGTTGCTTTTCTAATACTGGCAGTGAATGTGCTGTGACATCTGTTACTTATTTACTGTTTTTGATTCTTTTACCATACCTTTTTGTAAACACCRACTTCTTGAATAAGGCCAAAAGAAGAAGAAGGGTTACCTGGGCTCCTGGTAAAATAAACCAGGAGAACATGAGCTATTTTGAAGACTTTGAAAAGCTAAAACCAACTGAAAAAAAAATGAAAATGTCTCTGTCAGCATTACCAGACATGGAGGAYTGTAAGTATCTGCAGAATAAGTAATAAGGTAACTCTGTGAAATATTTTTCAAAATGTAGACTTCAGAAATAATCTTAATGCTTTCCTTATAGGAGAATTTAAATCAAAAAGCAAATGAATTTGCCAATATATGAAAACAATATACAGTGGGCTATGTGTAGTAGACTACATATACATAGTTGGAGTTCAGTAATGAAACTATGCTCTGTATAGCCCATCTTGACAGTATAACCTCTAGCCCATAGAGAAATTGGATTTGTCTGTTAACAAAGAATTCTCCTATAAGGCAGTTTAGAGAGGTAGTTTTTAGCACAATAATATTAAAAACCTAAAAATAAGGTTCATCAAAATTAAAAAAATGAAAGCATGAGTCTTATCTTCCTGAGTGAAGTAATCTATAACATGTTCCCACTGGATAACTTTGCAAGCTCTTTGTTTTGGATGGGAAATAAAATCTGGTTAAAGTAAGTAAAAGACAAGTTAACTAAATGTCCCTGTWCTTTCTTTTTGAGGGAACTCTTCATTTTAATTAATAGCTCATTATTTAAGACATACAAAGATGCAGGATGTARCAGGGTGAAGTCTATAAGCGTTTATCCTGTTGCTGTCTCCCTAACCGCTATGTTTGCATGAATATAGAAATCATAGCTGAAAGATTTCAAGATAYTGGGAGAGTAGTTAGCATAAAGATAGGAGCTGGATTTTGGTTTTGCTCTTCGTAAGAAGATCATTTGAGACTGAGGTCCTTGGTGTGCTCTGACTGTTATTTCCAATGTGTTGATATTATTTCTAAAATGTACTCAGTCTTTTTTCTTAAGTCTGCCACCACAGTGTACTTAATTCTCACCTCTTTTTTTTTAAGCTACAATTTCAGAGAATTTTGAAAGTGATAACCAGTGGCTAACTGTTCCTGATCAAATTTCTGAAGTAGAATGGACTGCTGGACAAAACATGAACTGGGTAATTTCATAATTACGTTGTACTGCTCAGTACAGTACATGTACGTAACAGGCTTCGCTGGCCAGCTTTGTTTGCAAGACACCATTATCTGTATCTTCTATGAATTACTGTAATTAGAAACAAGGTTTCTTAGGAATCACTGAAGTTGTGGGATGTTTTGTGGACAACGCTCTATTGAGCCTCGATATTTAATCATGGCTGGCTATGAAAAGTAAAACCATCAGAAATGTAGACTTACTGAATTTGATCTTGTAAATAACTAATTAAAGTATTTCTTCTTCTAGACTCATAGAGACTTTGAAGAATCTGTACAACTCTGTGAAGCATTGGCATTAGAAAAGGTAAGTCTGCTAAATATTGTCTGGAAAAGACTCAAGTTCAAGTAACCACCTCTAAGGTTTGTCACTCTTCTTTTTCAGGATATTGCTTTAAATGAGGTCAATGCCCTCCAAGCCAACTTTAATAACCTAGTATTGGAAAATGAACAACTAAAATCAGAAGTAAATGAATTGAAGGAAAAACTGAAGGATAAAATAGAAATGGATGAATTTGAAGTACTGGAAAAACAAACACAAAAAGATCATGAGGTTTGTTTGTTTTGTTTTTTGGGCTACAATTTAATGAAGTTACCTTTTATCCCATGTTTTATACAAGAATTTATGGCTCTTGCACAAAATGTATTCATAATATTATTATGACTTTGCCTCTATTGAAGACTGTATGTAGAGGTTCCTTATGTTAGACAACTAGTTTTAGGTGCCTATTCAGTTATCAGTATTTAACTATTAATTATTAATACTGAATAACTATTCAGTTATTCGGTATTTGAGGCCAGCTCCTAAGAAATCCTTGTAACTGTCCCTGAATCAGTTCTCTCTGTAATGACAGATACAGAAACTACTTTTGAAGGTTTCTATTACAAGAATCGCCTTCTGAACTACAAGTATTCCTGTTTTCAGATATGTATCTGAAGATATATAAAACAAGCATTCTGTTGATGCCTGTGGCAGATGGCTTACTAAATTGGTTGAAATGCAACCTTTTCAACCACTGCAAACATATAAGGGTAAACTCTGTTATCCTAATTCATTACATGATATAATTTTGGACAGTGGCCGTAAAGTTACAGATGTTTTTCTTCTTGACCTATACCTATAACCATACAGATGTGTGTAACCATGCATATATAGGAGTACTTACTGTAAAGCTTGTACAACCAAGACGAGAAGAGAAGGGCTGATCCATTTTTAGAAGTGTTTTTCTCTGTAGTGTTCCCCTTCTGAATCCTTTCAGAGGGTGCCATTGAATATGTTTGCAGCTTGCATACTTCACCTCAATTTTGACACCGCTTCACTCTTGTTAACTAGATGATATCAAAAAGCTTGCGTAGTCATTGAAAGAATTACTTAACATGAGTAGAGCTTTGTTTCATATCTTCRATTTCTGCATGAATTGCTTTGACCACGCTGCTCCCACTTTTTGAGCTTTTGCTGATCAAAGTGTACTTGAATCCTTTCTAAATCCTGAGAAGCTGAAAGAGTTTTGTATCTCATCTCTCTGTATTTCAGAGAATGTATGCTTGCTTGGTAGCTAATTAGGTACATGTGTGTTTAGCTGCCAACTAATAATATATAGGAAAGGATAAGGTAGTTCTTGCCCACTTTCAGGGTGATGGCAACTAAAATTTATTGGTGTGGGTGCTTTCTAACATCTTCTGCTATTTTGCTTCAATTGCTCCACAGATACAGCTAATGCATGAAATTACCAACTTAAAGAATATAGTTTCAAATGCAGAAGTGTACAATGAGGAACTTGAGGTGAGCTTGTCTCGTGGATGTGCGTGCTGTAAGATTGGATGTAAAATGTAATGCTTGGTACATCTGTCTTGAAGTATTCCATCTGCAACAGAAAATATAGATTTCATTTGGCTCTGGTTAGTCTTGCTAGCCCCACTAACAGTAGTATGTCTGAACTTAGTAATGTTGATCATGTAAAAAGCACACTTAGGTTCTTAATTATAAACCAAAGTAGGTGCATATACCTTTTTCTTTTTTTGCCTTTTAGGCAGAAATAAAATCTAAATTGGAACAGCTGAAAGAGAAAGAGAACAAAATAAAGATGCTACAGAATCGTGTGGAAGAACTGCAGAAAGCAGGACTGGAAAAAAAGGATGCATCTTTTTCAGTGGTAGACTTGTTTTCTGAGCTTGGGGGGCAGTTGTTTTAAAGTTTGGGTAGGGGAAGGTGGAGATTACTTGAAATATGACCTTGTTATAATTAAAGCTTAACCCTTCCCTAGCATATATGTAGGAAAATATTGTGCAAAATTATGTAAAATTAATTAATAAAGCAGTATCTAAAGCTAAGGGAAACAGTGTTCTCTGGAATACAAGTTCTCAGAGTTTACTGTTAGTGTTTGTTTCAGATGAAATAAATCTACAAGTTTGTTTTTTTGAGTGTTTTTTATGCTTAGCCTTTCTGTARCCATACTTGCCTTATTTCAGCTATATTTTTGCAGGAAATGAGTTAACACTTGTCCATCTTTTTCAGAAAGATTCTGATAAACTAATTGAGGAAATTGAACAACTGAAGAAGTCCCTACTTGATAGTGAAATGATAACTTTAGATGCAAAGAAAGAATCTGCCTTTCTCAGAACTGAAAATTCTGAGCTGAAGGAGAAGATGGTGAGAACCCTTTTTTTAGTCGCTTTTACAAGTATATAAAACACTGCCATGTGACTGATKGCTCCCAGATCAGTGAAAGAGGCAATTGGTAAAGACAAGATTTAACAGAGGAGTTGGAGCAAACTGATGACTTAGGCTCTGAGTAATACTTTTTTAAGGGACTTGTTGAAAAGGGGTTTTTAAGAGAAAGACAAATCATTTTGTGTTTGTAGGGGACCAAAGAGAACAAGAAAGGTGGTAGGGTGGAGTTGTTCTTAGAGATGTAAAGCAGATGTAAAGCATAAGATGGGAAAAGCAGGTCTAGTCATGACTTGAAARGTACCCTTTGCTGTAGCGTTCTAATGGAGTGGAGTCATTTAAATGTGGAAAAGAAACAATTGTCAGGGTCAGAGTTGAGCTTGTATGAGGAAACACAGCAGAAGCAATGTTTAACTGATAAGCTGTTAATTTAAGTAAGTGAATTTCATCTTTTCTTAAAGCATGAACTCCAAGATACTTACCAGCAGATGCAAAAGGATGTTCAAGTGTATCAAAGCCAAATAGAAGCAGGGAAAACCAGTTACAAAAAAATGCAAGCTGACTTGCAGAAAGAGTTGCAGTCTGTATTCCAAGAAAACACAAGGCTGAMCTTGCTGATGGAGGGTAAAGTTCCTAAAGGTATGTTCAGCTTGAGCTGCTGCTTTTTTTATCCATTGGGTTGGGGGAAAAAGTAAGACTCTTGTTTCTTCACCTATTTGGAAGCTTTTCAAAAGTAAAACATTAGTATTTCTTGTGCTAGGGGTGGCACATACCTTCTGTATCACTTAAAGTACTTGGAAAATGGTTATTTATATAATATTTCTAATTTCCTACCAGCATGGTAAAGCTGATGAGGAGAAAATAAAATCAGCTGGATTTCAACCAAACAAATGATAACCAAATTCCAACAAGCAGTTTTGGCTTTTAATTTTTGGCTATTATAACATATACTACTCTGAATTTACGGTGTGCTCTGTTATATTAAAATATATCTGCTTAATTTAAAATCTGCTTTTCCTTCTGTTACTTATTAATCTAAACTTGATTATTCTGTAGACTTGCGCTGTCTTGTGGAGCTGGAAAAAAATGCAGGTGATTTAAGAACAGAGCTAGAAAAAGCACTAGAAGAGAACACACATCTACAAAAACAAGTAAATGAGCTGTCAGAATTGCAGTCTTTGCCAAATACAGTGGAGTTGCAAAAAAAGGAGGTAAAAAAAAGACACCTTTTGCGTGATATTTTCCTGTGCACTTTCTGACGTGTGAATCTTAAGCTATCCGAGTAAGCTTTATGGAAATTTTATTGTGAATGCTTAACAAAAGTTCCAAAATCTCTCAGGGACTCTTTTCCCCAATAAATAACTAAGCCTTATTGTTTACAAGTTAGATGTTAGCAATTTACTCCTTTAATCACAATAAAGTTTTTATAGATAAGTCTGAATATTAAAACTCAAATTGATTAATAGTATCAGTTCAGTATTGGCTTAAAGATATGAAAAGGAGATCTCAGAATATCAAAAGTGTTATGAATAGCTAAGACTTGAGGATTTTGTATCCTTTGGAGTAGTTGTTCTCTTTGAGGTTGTCTTGGTTTCTATGGTGTTGGAGTGTCTGCAGTAGATGGARCAATGTACTTGGACAGAATTGTTTTTTTCCTATGTTTTCTCATTTTGTGTGCATATAAATGCATTATGCAGCTGTGATTAATTCTAAGGTTTAGAAAATGCTACTTATGTTGCTCTTCTGTTGGCAGTTACTTGAAAAATCTGAGGAGCTACACTTATTAAAACTGGAAAGAGAAAAGCTGCTTTCTGAAGTAGCTGATAAAGAAGTTAAATTCAAACATATGGCTGAAGAAATTGAAAAATCAAAAGAAGATCTAGCAGGTGCACAGCTCAAGTCTGTAAAATCTGATCAGGAGTATGTAGCACTTAAACAGCTCCATGAAGAACTAGAGCAAAAACATGTGACTGCATTAGAGGATAATGAACAAATGAAGCTCCAAATAGAAATTCTGTCTAAGGAAGTACAAGAGTCTAAAACAGCTTTGGATGATGTGAAATTAGAGGTTGGTTTTGTCATCTTGCTCCTTGATGTGCATAAGGTCAATTGATTGATGGTGAAAGATCATTTGGTCTTAAATCATATAAATAACTTGGTCACCAGGGTTCCTTTATTAGTCAATTTCATTTGTGACAGAAGTATAAAGTATAGGATTATGCCTTAAATAATGGTCTKTCTTCAAAGACAAAACAGTTTATATGTTGCTCAAGATTATATATTCTTCTATAATCCGTTTTAATTGTCCATTTTCAAGGCTTAACTTATTATGCAAATAAATATGCTGTTGGTCTACTCTTTCTCATAGGAGCTTTCTCATAGGAGAACTGGAGTCTAGCTGTTTTGAATTTTCCTCTCTTTTTTGAAAGAAAGTAAAAGAGACCATCTTTCAATTGCCATGTAAATTGCCAATTAAAAAGGGTAGGAAGCAGAACTAAAAATACCTGTGTTTTTGACGACCCTTTTAGCAGTTCTGTGGTTATTTTATTCCAGCTATAGGTTTGATAATTTCTAAACTAAACTGCTGCTTCATGAGCACTGTTGTGTGTCTTATGAAGTCTTTTGCTACTAAAGAAAAACCCAGAAGCTTCCACAGACATGCTTAATCTATGTGGGCAAATATATAAATCGAGACTTTAAGGCAGAGGGGAGAAGGGAGATGATATATTAGCTTTCAGCACTTTTGCCCTCTCTAAGCAAATACTTTTGTGAGGCTAGGTAAGTATTATGTCTTCTAATCTTMTAATGAAAGTGTTTTGGCTTTTTCCTTTTGAAACTGAAGCTTTCCAGGAAAATGAAAGAATTAGAAGAAAAGACAGAGGAATGCAAGGAACTTGACCAAGTAAGAGAAGATCTTATTCAGACTCAGCAGAGGTTAAATGAAATGGAGCAATTGAAAGAGCAAGGGAAGATTACAGAGTCTAGATTGGAAGCCAAGGATTCAGAAATTCAGGCAGTTCTTCAGCAGCTCAGTGAATGTCGGGAAGAAATTAAGATCCTCGCCCAGGAAAGGGATTCCCTAAAGCAGAAAGGAGAAATCCTCCAAGCGGAGGCAGACCAACTCAAAGAAGATATAAAGGAGACTGTTTCAATGGTAGGAAATCTACCTTWATCTAAATGAACCGTACACTTTAAGGGCAAAATATTATAAGAATGCTTGTAAATTATACTGGAACATTCTGGAGATGGAAGTGTTCTTTTTACCTCAAGGATTGCTTACTATCTCAAGTCAAACTTGATAATATGGTGCTTTTTCTGTTTTCTGTGTTGCATTTTTTTTTTCTTAAGAACATTCTGGCACACGAAGAACTGAGAAATGCACAGAGTTCTCTCAAGAAATCCCAGGACATGATTAAGAAATTGGAGAAAAGTATTTCTGAGAAAGAAGATGAAATTCTGAATATTGAAGAGGCACTAAGGAAAACTATTAATGAACTTGAAATACAGGTAAGAAGRTAAAATTTTTCAAAGCAGTGCTGTTTTTCAGCTTCCTGAAGTCCCTTAAAGAGAACAACAAACAGGATCTCTTGTTGAGAGAAACAACTTTGACAGGAGTGATTTTAGTCTTAATGTGATTCATAATACTGGGGAAATATTGCTAGCAGAACACTTTGCCATTGCTTCATCTCATCCAGGGGATTTTCTAGATGTTTGGTAGAAAGTGGACAAGCCCCAAGTACTGGCTGATCCAAGTCTATAGCAGTTGGTGTTTTGATTGTTCCTMTATAGATCAAAGCTGTTGCSTATACTCTGATGAACCTCTGTTTAACTAGTTTGTTTTTTTGCTGATAATATGAGTGGTAGCACTGGGCAACAACTGGAAGAAAAGATGAGGTTTGCATTGAGGAGGGAATGAGGCTAATTTTTATCTGTTGTTAATAGATCTAGTGAATCTATTGATCTAATGAATATCTCTGGACTTGTGTACAACAGTTGGCAAAGACTGTTGAGAATGTTKTAAGTTACACAATTGCTTCAGTGGCTGCAAGTCGTCTTGAAGGAGAAACCATTGCACATGATAGACTTTAAAGAAAAATATCATACTAGCTGTCAGAACCACTAAGTTAATGTGATATATTCAGTATATGTATGTTTTGAAGCAAGTATATAAGAATAACCACAGATAGGTTTCTTAATCAGTGAGGAACAAGTTGGAATGTTTTTCTAGGTGATATCTGGAAAGCATTGCAGAAGCTGCTGCTAAAATACTTGTTTAAAAGAAAATGGATGGTAAACCAAAGACCATTTATGAATCTTTTAATTTGGAGATGTGAGGATATTAAAAAAAAAAAAGTAGGATGAGTCAGGTGGAACTTTTGCACTTGAATTTTGGTTATGAATTGATGGCACTGATCACTTTTTCATTTTCTGTCTATAGTTGTCACAGAAGACTGAAGAAATAAAAACCATCACATCAGAGCGAGACCAGTTTGCCAAAGGAAAATTGGAATGTACTAAAAATGAGGGAAGTGATGAGCTTCAGGTGCTAAAGGAACAAATTTCTTCTCTTACACAAGAAAACAATTCATTGCAGAATAAACTGGACAGCCTCCATATGAAGCAGAAAGAATATGAGGAGGGCACTTTGGTAATTATTATACTAAGTCTATAATGGAAAAGATGCTTATTTCACATTTCAATTAAATGAAAATTGCAAAACTAATAGGCAAAAAGGGTCCTGCTACCTATTAACAACTATTAAGTTACARAATTTAGTTGCATATGGAGAACTAATAGTAGCATATTCTGCAAAGAGAAATGTTCTCTTAACATAATAGTTAAACAAAGTTGTGGGACATGTGCTTTCCAAGGCATGCRCGCATATATATATCAATTTATTTATTTAAAGGATGTTAGTGGACTCTAAAGCCAAGAATTTTCCGCTGGAGATGCTGCTTAGGGCTGTGTGTGTTTATATTTAGCCTCAAGACTTAAACTAGGGCCGTGGAGCTACATTCCTGTTAAGTGGCATGAGAAAGCATCCCTCTGAATTTCTTTTATGTTTTATTGTTCAAGAAACTTAAAAACATTTTGGATTTAGTTCTGTTGGTCGTTCTTTGTTAGTTTGATAGTTTTCTTGTTTCTTTGTTAGTTTCTTGTTATTCAAAATAACAATGCAAGTCTCCTTCAACCATAATCTTACATACTCTATTTAAAAGGTCTCCCCAGATCTGTTAGTTACACTTTTTGTCTAAAAATATTCCCCAGCCTCAGGAAAAAACTACTGACCAAGAATTATTACTCTTGAGAGAAGAACTGATCCAGGCACAAAGCAAGTTACGTGTAATGGAAGAAATGAAAACCAGTGAATGCCAAAGGGAATCTGAAAAGATGGGGAGAATAAACTTAATTCCAAAACTGCATGACTGTCAGGACGTGAGCACTGCAACAGATGGAGATGATAATCTCAAAGTACAATTTGAGAATCTCCAAAATGAGAGAGACCAGCTCAGGGAAACCATACAGGAGAAAATTAGCATGGTAAGA